CCAAAATTGTAGTGATCAAAAAAGAGTCCATCCCACAATGCAACATTTCTGGGGAAGGATTGGTTTGTGTTGAACTTCTTCACTAATGGAATATGAATGGAATGAGGATGAGTTGACACATGTGGCATGACAGGTCCTGGAAGGTTCCAAGTAATGTAGCTTGTACAAATATCTTGCAATATTGTTTTTTGATAAGATTCATTTTGGCTTTGCATTTTGTTAATCTTTTTTGATTTCTATTTCTCTCAGACTGGACATGTTTTATTTGCATTAGAGAAACTATGCAATATAAGTAATACTAAAAACATTAAAAATAAATTCATATACATTTTTTATTGAATTACTTGACGTTGTTAATGAGAAGGGTGTGTTTGATGAGCAGTAGCAAAGGTATTGACACATGGTTAGAATTTCTTCATGACAGGCCCAGCAGGTATCAAGTAATGCAGCATGCACAAACATCTTACAATATGGCACTGAAATGAGTCCCTAAATATAGCATACCTTAATATATATATATATATATATATATGCAAAAATATCTGAGTTAAAGATTTTACAATTTCTTTTTAAAAATAAACTCAATGAAGCCAACAAAACAGGACGCATGATAAAATCATTAACGACCGGATAAATCCGGTTTATATGGGGAGACTTGGCAACTCAAGCAGTTAATTACTCACATAAAAAATAGTAGGTGAGAAAAAAAAAAAAAAATGGAATTATTAATTTTATGGAATATGCATTTTCCTTTCAAAACCTGAATAATTCATCATAAAATGCACAGTATTGATATTCTTAAAATTGTTATCCCAATTTCATTGCAATTGTTCTGATGAGCTTTCCTTCTTGGTGCCTCAACTGCATGAATTTAATCGTACTACTAGATTGGCAATTAGGTCTCACAGTTTTACTATTGAACTAGCTACATGCAACCATATGTTCTATTCTAATAGTTTCTTTTCTTGCACTTCTCACGTATGGAACTCCTTTCCAATTTCTTGCTTTTCCGCCAACTACAATCATCAAAGATTTAAATGCAACACCAATCGTCGTCTTCTGTCTCCCTGAACTCTGTTTCTTTGATATCCTTTCCTCATTTCTTCTCACTAAGGACTTCTTGTTCTCTTTCACTTCCTGTAACCCCTTGTGTCTTAGTGACATTATTGCCTTGCTTGGGGTGAAATGTTTTAAGTTATTTTCTATTTAGATTGCTTTGTCAGTTATACTTTAACTCTGTTGAAAGATGAATATTTTACAATATATTGTAAAATGAAACTCAACAAAACCTCAGAGAATAGACTGTCCTATTATCATCACAATTGACACACATTAGAAAATAAAATATAAACGATAAGAGAAATACGATATGTTTTTTATCAGGTTTTGTGAACAAATTTACTTATCAATGCATCTAATTTGAATATTCAATACACATCTGTTTTATATCTAGAATCTAGTGAGAGTTCAAAATAAAACTAACATGGCACTAATATATATATATATATATATATATATATATATATATATATATATATGTGTTACATTAAACACTGTTTTTCTTACACTATAGAGTATTTATATATATTTTGTATACAATCACTCACTCATATACCTACTTATATTTACCCATTCAGTTACATATATTAATTATAATAATAGCTGGCCACTCATATTTGAGGATACCCATCTACTAGAGTAGCTAGCCAATCCCTCTCTCTTTCTCTCTCTCTCTCTATATATATATATATATATATATATATATATATATATATATATATATATATATATATATATATAGATACACACACACACACACAAAATGATAAAAACATGAAAGATATATGTATATGATAAAAATATAGCTTTAAGATATGCTATATTTATGGATTAAAGTGCTCAATATCAAGGATAGAGCATATGTAGATATAAAAGCAAACTGTATCATGCTTAAACACAATCTTTAGTCCATTGAATATTGTGTTAAAGCATGAAACAGACTATCACCACTGAGTGTTGACCTCAATGTCAAGTTTTATATTTACATACATTCTATCCAATATTGAGCAGTTTAACCCATAAATATAGCATATCTTAAAAATATATTTTTATCATATTTAGCTCTTGATAAGCAGTAGACCCCTTTTGCTATATATATGTATATATATATATGTATATGTATGTTTGTGTGGTTGGTTGGTTGTGAAGATAAGAGAAAAATGGAAAATTTATTAACAAGTCAATTCACTAAGAGCATCTTCTCCCTTTGGCTACCTCAGGTTAGAATGTAAGAAAGACAAAACTGTATACGAGATAAAATGTCTTGGGATCTCTAAGAATAAATAGGAACCATAGGTCAAATTAAATTTCATTACCTTTTCACCTCCCATGTCCAGACTCAAGTGAGTGTCTGTCCGCCTTTTTGTTTGTTTTATCTATATCAGACCCATTTTGTATTGTTGGATTTTAAATCAGTCTACTGAAACTAGAGAGTTCTTTTAATTTTATATATATATATATATATATATATATATATATATATATATATATATATATATATGTGTGTGTGTGTGTGTGTGTGTATTTAGAGAAAGTGCTCAATATCCATGATAGAGCTAATATATTCAGTTGCATGGACAGTAGTTTGTAACACTATTCATGCAACCGCATATATATATATATATAAATGAAATCTCTTAATAGATATAAGAGAATTAGTAACAGCAGTAATAGTAGTGATCACGACTGATTTATTTGTGATGTTTTACAATGATGTTTGAAATTTACAAAGTTATTGATATAGGAAATCAATGTCTTGCTCTGTTGGAAAATTTTAAAAGTAAAAGAGAATGTTTATTTTTATTCTTCAAAAATATTGTAGGTAAACCTACTTTTCCATGTATACATAAATATTCTTTATAAGCAACTGTATTTAAATTTGACTAAATCTTAAGCAACATCAGTGAGGCACTAGACAATAAATACATCTCAAGGGAGGAATGGCTTTAAATATTTCAAAGGCCTTTTGACAAGGTCAGGCATAGAGTGTTACTGCACAATCTCTCTAGCTATGGAACCACTGGAAGAGTCTTTTCACTTATCAAGTCCTTCCTAACGGGTAAGTCTTTGTAACATTCAGTCCTCTGAGGTTCACGTGATCAACACAGATGTCCCCCAAGCTTGTTTCTCAGCCCAACCCTCTTTCTACTTTACATAAATGATCTGCCTAAGAGTATACTTTGTTCATTTGCAAATATCTAGGTTGATGATACAACAGTACAACCTCCAAAATGCTAGATGACCAGAGCTTAGCAACTGATCTCACCTCTGAACTAGTTTTAACAACTTAATAGTGGAAAAACTTGCTAATCACATGGAGTACTGCTGTCATATATTGACAGGAGCTTCCTAGTCATCCCTTTCCAGGTTCAATAGGGTCCAAAAGCATCTCCACATTCTTGTGAAGGGATGAATTATTTTCCACTCAACAACCCTTTTCCCCACAGATGAAACGTTGCAAGCCTCTTGTTGCTCTATTGCTATTTCCATGGAAAGTGTCCAGGCAAACTACATCCCTTAGATCCACCAGTTCTAACCTTCACAGATAAGACCCCGCCATGCCATGCACATTGTAATGAACCACCCTCATTTCCTTTGTATTCCATAAGTGAGATGTAAGTTCTACTTGAGCAGTAGCTTCTCATGAACTGCTGCTTTGTGGAACTGATTCCCAAGAGGATGCTTCCCTGAACACTAAAATCTTAATCAGTTCAAGTCTAGGGTTAGCTGTTTATCTTCCACACATATCTCCATAAACTTTGCCTCTTATTCTGTATCCCTCCTCCTGGAGAGGCTCTTGGGCCTTGTACAGAGTGAACAAAATAGTAAAAAAAAAAGAAAAAGAAAAAAGAAAAAGAAAAAGAAAAAACTACATTACTGATATCAGTGTGGCTTAAGCAATTAGAGAGGAAAACAAAAGAAAAATGTGAAAATAAACAAAAATAATTGCTAAATGAATTATTTTATACTGTATTTAAGAATTAAATCAAAATGCAACAATCAAAACAATGTCTGGCACACCTTTCAATGTCTAGAAGAATTTACTTATCCAGGTAGTAAAATATCTAGTTGTAAAAGTGATGTAAACACACACATTGGTAAAGCAAGGGGTGCCATCGACAAGTTTTCTCTAGTGTGAATGTCTGGACTTCCAGACAACATGAAAAGAAAGCTTCTTTTAAACAACCATTACCTCTGTTCTATTGTATGGCTGCTCAGCATGGACCATTACCTCAAAGCTGCAAAGGTAAAGCCTATACTTGCATGGTGACAGTGGTTTTGAATGTCACTTGGAAGGATGGTCTGACCAATAAGTGATTGTATGGGGAACCTTTGTCCAGTATCAGACATCATCAATGAGAGGAGAATCAGATTCGCAGGGCGTTGCTGGAGAGCTAAAAACAAAATTGTTAGTGATGTTCTTGTGTGGAATCCTACACAAGGAGGAGCGAGCAGAGGACGACAAGCCAAAACCTATATCAAGCAGATTTGTGAGGACATAAACCGCAATCCCTCTAACATGATGAAATTGGATGGCAACAGAGAATCATGGGAATCTGTGCAAGCCATGTGACCAGATGAGGATTAAGAATTCTAATTCTATGACACACAGAATTATTTAAAATATCAGTTATATTACTTTAGTTTGAGAAATAGGGAACATTTCCAACATTCATATATCCATTGATTGATTTGGGTTTTTTTACATACTTCTTAACATTTTACAGGTTACATAAAGCTTGGAAACATTTTTAGATTGTAAGAATTTTTTTTTGAGATAATCATTTACTGATATATCCTACTAAGTAATCCATAGCTGGGGAGAAGAGATTGATTCATACTTTTCCTAAGGGTATTTGCACATAAGTGAATATAATGAACCAAACTGGAATTGGAACTCAGTTTTTCGATTTACAATTTGAAACATCCATATATCCAAGCTTACAGCACCTGGTATTCCTAAGTGGTAACCCATTTCAGTACTGACCAGACTCAACATTGCTTAACTTCAGTGATCGTACAAGATCCAGTGTTTCAATGTGATGTAGCCAGAGGCTTCATGTATACATATTGCCATGGTGAAATGCATATGTCTAAATTTAATGCAACAAATATTTGCTAATCTAATAATTTAGATTCAATTCTGAAAATAAGTTAACAAAAATACAAGGGAGTGATGAAAAGTTCTCAGCCTAACCAAGAAACACTTAAAAAAATTTTTTAAATGTGGTTAGGTTTTGGAAAGTGGATCAGCCCAAGAACTTTTCAGTACACACACACACACACACACACGCACAGAGGAAATGTGCTAGAAATTGGGGATTAGTAATCTTGATTATGGTTCGTTGGTTTTATGGCACACTAAGCCTTGCTGGGTTATTTAATGTCAAATATGGGTTTTCTTAAGCATAAGCCATTTTCAATATTAAAAGACTAGTGATGAGAAAATATCTTCCTATACAGATCCAATTTTAAAACTGAGAAGAGAAACCATGTCATAAAATATCTAGATTCGGTCTTTCTAGTTTTTGTCAAAAGAAAGCCCAACATGTTTTAACAATATTCCCATTCTGTATATTTTTCAGATCATTTTTTGTAAATTTGTTAGAATTTATTTGACTTTTAAGAAAGCTACAAGAGTCCCAAGTGTGAGCACTTTTTTTAATCATTAAGCAAAAAAAAAAAAGAAAACAAAACAAAATATGCCTCCTCAAATATGTTGACACACTAAATGTAATATTTATAGAAATATTTTGTTTATTTAATCATTTCACTCAAAGCAAGGCAATAAAGTCACTAAGACATGGGGATAACTAAATGTGAAAGTATACCAAAAACATTATTAAGATGAGAGAACAATAAAAGAACAGGAATTAAGAAGACAGAAGATAAAGATTGACATTGCACTTAAATTTTTGAAGATCAAACTTGACTGGGAAGCAAGAAACTGAAAGAGCATTCCACAAGCGAGAAGTGTGAGAGAAGAAACTATTAGCATAGAACTTACAGTTACATCTAGCAGCCATTTCAACTGTAAAATGATGACACCTAGCTACCAATCTATAAGTGAACTTAAATTCATAAAGTCTACGTACAAAAGAGGAAAGTTAATCAGAACAATTGGCATGAAAATATTTATAGAAAAGGCACAGGGAAGCTACATTATGGCAGTGGGAAAGAATTGCTGAAAAACGATACAGTACGTATAATACATATTTCTATAAACTAACACGTGTTTATATCTAAGAAAGAAAATCTATATAGATGATCCTGTTAGTAAAAACTTACCCGTGAGGTAGATATATTCCACAGACATTAATTCAAGGCAGTATTAAAATGTAACATGATGAAACAAGTAGTAGAAAAGTAAAATGTAAAAAGAAAATTTTAGAATATCCACGTATGGTAAGATAAAACCAAATAAAAGCACACAAGAAAAAAAAAAAAAAAAAAACCCAAGAGAAAAAGATTAAAGGTCAAGGTTTGTGCAAAATGGTGGAGGGAAAAGATAAGAAAAAAGTAGATCATCAGAAAGTTCACTAGAAAAACTAAGTAACATGAAAAACAAAAAGAAATGATCAGCCACTTCAGTGCTTTCAAATGTTATCTTAAATTCTTTTAAAGAATCTCATATGTTCAAAGGCATTTGAAAAAGACCTATTTTTAAATTTTCAATTAAAAATTCTTCATTGTGTCTATCACTCAAGCAGCTTCTTCCCACAAACCACTGCCCTGTGAAATTGACTCCCAAGATAATGCTTCCCTGATCACTACTATTTTTACCTGTTCAAGGCTATTGTTAATGGTTACCTTCCACATGTATCTGCATAAGCCATGCCTCTTTATAATCTTCCCTCTGAGTGGCCCTCAAGCTTTGTACAGAATGAACACCGTTGTAAAAAAATAAAATAAAATAAAAATAAAATAATAATAAATTAATAAAAAATAAAAATTTACATCTATAAAATCAGAGATGAAGTCAACAGTTCAAATAAGTCAAAAGCATATTGGTAATTCCACATTTCAAAATAGTGGATACCTGAAGATGGCCAGAGGATACTTTGATGAAACATCATGTCTATAATAAACTCTATAACAACCAAGGATGAGAACAACAGTTTGAATGCTAAAAGCATATTGATAAAGCCTCATCAGGAAAAAAATCCTCATCTGTTATTGATCAGTTTAAAAAAACAATAGATTACACAGTGGTTGTTCACACAAAGATGGACACAGTTTTTGACCCTGTTAAGGAGCACATTTTCTTTATTAAATTTTCTCCATACACAATGTTTAAAAAACAAGACATATATGTATGTATTTAGATGAGCAGACTGATAACAGAAATGTCAGACATTTCTTATCAATAACTAGCTGGTGATGTTCATTAACACCAAATAGATTAAAAATTTTAAAAAGATCAGAGTAAAGATCTCTTTTTGGCAGATGAACTGACAATTCTATAACAATTTACTTGATATAAGAATCTGTTAGGACCAGGCATTTTTTAATGCCATGTCTATTCAAGACATAGATGATCATCTACACCTATTGACTACAACTACCAATCAATTATGGTTACCTGCTAGATTGTTCTACTTGGTTACAGTAGCCTAAACTACTTAGCTACTTCAATCAAATATATCCCTTTCCGGGACATATTAGTTGGATCTCATCCTCATCGCCAACTGATGTGTCCCAAAAAGGGATATATTTGATCGAAGTAGCTAAGTGGTTTAGGCTACTGTAACCAAGTAAAACAATCTAGCAAGTAACCATAATCGACTGGTACTCGTAGTCAATAGGTGTAGGCAATAGGCATGGACCAATAGGATAGCCAATGGTGTAGTCCAATGGGCGTTATCCTGTACCTCTACATCAGCCTGTATTTATTGCTGACACCAGCCAATCATATTCCTGTGAGGGGGAACACAGGTGTATGCATATTCATTACGTCAGTAAGACTTGTTGGACAAAGTTACAACTTTAAAAGCAAATATGAGAACAGAGTTAAAACATCTTTCATTAGTTATAAGAGGATTACATTCAGAAAAGATAATGGGCTAGATGATCTGCTTATCTACAATAAAAACTGAAATGCTTCACATATTCCAAAATAATTTAATCTTGTAGATTGCAAAACCTGCAGTCTCTGCCTGTCATCTTTTTTATCATTTCACCCCAAGCAAGGCAATAAAGCCACTAAGATGCAATGTTTTATAGAACAAAAAAAAAAATGCCAATTGGTTAGCCTCTGTTACTTCTTTGAACATATGAGGTGTATTGTCAGACTGCACGTTTGACTTCCTTTCCTCTATTCCTGGGTTACAGATGAAATTAATGGGATGAGAGAAGAAGGGTTGGGGTCAGTGATGTAAAAAGTACTTTACCATCTTTTCAAGGAATTGCCTTTAGATTCGCCTGGCATCTTTCTCATTTATTATCCCTTATTAGTTTCTCACTTCTCTTTGAACGTAATTTCAGTTACAGGAGTTATCCCTTCCTTTAAAAAAAAAATTTCAAAAATGTAAAATCATTGTAATTTGTTATGCTTAGAAGGTTTCAAGCAGGGGTCTGTAAAGTTGTCAATATTAACCCTTCGAGGTTGATAAATGTCTGTTGTGAGGGGGAGGGGGAATCAGTGAATGGTGGCTTAAAACTAAAACTCACCAATTTCCAACCAAATATCTGTTCACCTGCTACTGCTTATAAAACACATCCTTCCCATGAATGAGTTACATTCATTTACTTTACAAATACTCTTGACAAAAGGTATGAATCTCTCTCTTCTCCTCCCAGATATGGTTTAAATAGTAGAATTTGTATCTGGAAATATAATAGTTATTCTAAAAACATTTTAATGCAACATTCACTTACAAAAAAAAAAAAAAATATTCATACAATCCAATGTTTATCTTGATCAGGGATCCCTCAAATGGTTGATATTGACACCTGTGTGCCAATGAGACTATACAAGATGGTTGATATATGCCTAGGTTGGGGGTTTCAATCAATAAATCATGGTGATTTACAACTAAAACTCACCAAATTCCAAACCAAATATCAATGCCCTTGCTACTGTTCATCAAACACATACTTCCCATTAATGATGTCAAACAATTCAATAAAATCAAATGTAATTTTATTTTTAAACTCTTGCTCATTATTATTTGAACAAACACATCTATTTGAGGAAGAGAAACAGAAATTCATAAAAAAAAAAAAAAAATGAAAATGAAATAGTTTTTAATATTTTTCTTGTAAATTCTCAAGAACAAAATAAAAATGTATAAATTCACTTTCTTTGTTTGTATTCGGACTATTGTCCTCATCTTTTTTTATTGTTATCCCTACATATTAGCCATTGCACTCACCTGCCTTCCTCAAGTGTATATCAATCTGGGTAACCTACAAGAAACTCTGAACTGAACCCTTTATTTAATCTACAATAGTCTGACTATGAATAGTGTAATGATAACATCTCATCTCAGAAAGTCAGACAAAAAATTCATTTTCCTCATATATTTAGATTTTATCACAACCCTAATACTTTTTTAAAACAGTAAATATTGCTGAGGAGTGAAGGTAGTTAAAATAATAGTGGCGTCAAGGGAAAATCCGTCCTTTTGACACATCATATTTTTGTGAGCATGAAGATCAAACACTGTCAGAACAAGATTCAAGAAACCAAAGATGACAATTGATATTGCATTTAAATTTTTGAAATCATTGTTGAGAGGAATGTGAATATATAAGTGGATACTCAGGTCAACACTGAGTGACAAGTCTGTTTCATGCTTGAATGAAATCTTCATGGCCTGAAAGTTGTGTTCAAGCATGAAACAGACTGTTGCCACTCAGTGTTGACTTCAGAGTCCACATTTATATTTACACAGGCTCTATCCCTTATATTGAACACTTTTACTCATAAATATAGCATATTTTCAAAGTATATATTTTAAATTTTATAAAATTGGGCACTTAGATTTTTCTTTTTTATCTTAAATTTAGAATCAGTAACACAAATGCATCGTCACTGTCTTG